AAATATATCTTCGGTTCTTTAGAACAATACTTTCTAATTTTGAACAATATATTTAAAATCCTCATATATTTAAACATAGGTAACATAGGATTCATTTTATCTTTTCAATTTATTTTTCTTACATGCTAATCTTTATTTGTATCGCTTTTTCTTCAGGAATATAAATTAAATTAGTAAGATCTTTTTTGAATTTCCTAAGGATAGTCATATTTAGAATGATCTAAGTACATGAATCTGAGAGAATTTAGGGTAATCTTTATCAAGTTTATTATTGACTTGAAACATAATTTTGTCATTTCAAAATCTTAGCTTCATAATAAATTAAAAAATACTAAAGTACTTATCATATTTCATTTTTATTTGAATTCCTAGCATTTTATATTAAAAATTATTCATTTATAATTTAATCATTTGATAATTTTGGTAAGTTTTTCTTCATTATTTACTATCTTGTTAAAAATTAGCTTAATTTAAATAACCAAATAATCTGAAAATATATTATAAAATTTAATCCACTGTAAGAGGAAAATTTAAAATGGAATATAGAGTGGATATTTAATTTCATCAAAATATGCATGCTTTTGCTTAAAAAAATGAGGGATTTTTTTTAGAGATTTAATTTAGAAAATAAATGGATCATATGGTTCTTTAAAGGATAATTCTATATAATTAAGATTGATGAAAAAATCTAAATTAAATAGTTTAAAAATCTGGTGTTGTAATTTAGATTATAAAAGTGTTTATCAAATATGAAAATATTGAAAGAAAAATATCGATAGTAATTTAGGATAAAGCACAGCAAACTATACCNTTTATTTTAAAAATGAAATTAAAAAAATATACACATTTCAGAAATCTTAAAAGAATTTATATTTAAATCAAAGAAATCAAAAGAAGTCCTATTAGAAATTATCAAAAGGCATTCAATGTTATAAACTAAAGTTTATTATTGGGTTTCAAAATTTATAATCCACTTAATAGAATTGAATATCTGAAGATATTTGATAATAATGTATTATTTGATTATGTAATTCCATTTATAAATAATTATGTTGTTAATTATATCAAACTCTATATTCTTATATTCATTAATGATTTAATTTGAATTATGATAAAGAAATAACATAATTTTATAAGAAATATTAATTAAATATATCTTAGGTTCTTTCGAACGATGCCTTCTAATTTTGAACAATATATTTAAAATCCTCATATTTTTAAACATAGGTAACATAGGATTCATTTAATCTTTTCAATTTCTTTTTCTTGCATGCTAATCTTTATTAGTATCACTTTTTCTTCAGGAATATTAATTAATTACTTAGATCTTTTTTGACTTTCCTAAGGAAAATAATTAATATTTTGAATGATCTAAGTACATGAATCTGAGAGAATTTAGGGTATAATTAATGCATCTAGCAAGTTTGATTGGGTTGAAAATACCAATTTGATAAACTTTCGATTTATGAAATTTTGGTTCAGGAACATTGTAAGTTTCATATGGAAATGATTATTAAATAATATTTTAGATGAAAATTTAATATAATTAATGGGAATTTAAATATATTAATATTTATAAAATTATTCCTAATTTATATCTTTTTTTTACATATATCAAACAAAAATAATGGATAAAGATTTCTAATATTTTTGTTATCATCTTATCATATTTAAAATACAACTTTTTTTTTAATTTTGATATAAATTCAACCATACTTTTATATAATTATTTTCTACTTAAATATTATTTTTTTTAATAAAATATCATTTCCAAAAATTGTCCAAAAGACTTTTGAAGAGGACACAGACAAGACAAGAACAGCACATCACTTGTTGAGGAAGCTCCCTGCGAGAGTAGAGCATTTGTGAGCACTATATGCTGACTCTTCTCTCCAAGGAACCCTAGATGGCATTCTAGAGATGCTCTTCCAAGGGAATAACAAAGAAACTCTCTAGAAATTGATCTTGAAGATAATTTATAGACACAAAAAAAAAGAGACTGATCCTCAATAATCAAAAGCATCATCGACACAAGGGAATTAGACGACTAATACGATAGATGAACGGAACCTTGAAAAAGTGATAAAGGAATATCTTCTCTCGACTGAAGGCAACTTGAAATATCGAAAAAAAAAAATTCCAAAATAATTAAATAATTTATAATAAAATGAAAAGTCAAGTCTGATATGAGACAATTTATGTGAAAATAACCAGGACCTCTTATTATTAAATACAAGAAAAAAAGAAAATTAGAGAATAAAGACTTATAATTTACTAGGAAAACAATTTTAGGAGATTATATGAGTCTAACATGAGATATTAATTAAGAATTGTAATTCTGGGAGAATACGAAATTCATTTGCTACAAGTCAATCAATGAATCATTATAAATAAATGAAAATCAATATAGTATAAATTAATTAGATTTAATTTTTGCATCTAGAAAATTTGTAATATATTTTGAGTTTTGTAGGTGACTTAGAATTGGCACTAAATTACGAGCCCCAAGTTATTTCAAGATGAGCAAAAACAATATATAATTAAATATTGATAAGCATAATATTTATAAATGTAAAATAATCAGTAAAAACTATAAGAGAAAAGTGTCCAGGAAAAAGAGTTCGTTACAATGAAGAATTATATATTATCTATCTAATTTTATTAAGTCACCTAATAGGAGAATTTTGATTGTATTTAAAAAATACAAGTTCTTTTGAGAGGGTTTAGCTAGGAAAAAAAATCACAATCAAAAATATTTATAATTTTATATTTTATGTTTAACAAAATTAATGGATTCAAAAATTATTTTGATTGTTATTATTAAAAACATTCATCATTGGAAATAATTTCAAAAAGGATAAATTAGGAACTTAAAATTATTATAATAACAATACAAAATAGAATAGATCCTCGGGATAAGTATTTGAACTACATTTTCATATAATTACTAATATTGCAACATTCTTAAATTAATCAAATAATTAAATCAAAAGAGATTGAATATTTATATCCTAAAAGTTGATATTTATGCTTATAAAGTTGAATTTTTCAGAAAATTGTAAATTTTAAGATACAAATTTAACTATTTTATGCAGATTTAAAAGAAAAAATGCTGACATATATAATCTGCTATACTATTTATTCAATAAAAAGATAATGTATTAATTATGTATTATTATAATTCTTGATTTTCAACCTATGAGATAAAAAGGCTTAAAACAAATTAAATTGTAGAACTAATTAAATGGCAAAGAAAATAATAAGTAATCAGGTATTTTTATGTTTTGCCATTATAATATAGAGTATTTTAATAGAATTATCTAGATATTAATTAATAAAGTATAATACTAGGAATAAAATGCTATTATTCAAATAAAGATTTTGAATCAATATAGGATTTTCTGAATATTGATATAAATGGAGATGTAAGAATTATGAAGATGAATAAATAATTGAATATCATTTTGATAAACTAAAATATTTTAAATTAAATGATATCATTGTTATGATAGTAAATATACGAATAAACATTTGGTTCGCTTTTATTTAGGGTATAAAATAATATTTTTTATTATATTACTAAGAAAAGTCATATAATTAATGGATAAACTTGAATTGATCAGTTATATATATTACAAAATCAGAAAAATGTGTAAGCATTATCTATTCTACGGTTGATTATAGGATCAGATGAAGTTATATCAGCAGAACAAAAAAAATTAAAAATTATAAGAAAATAACCTAAAAAAGATCCTTATATAATTAAATCATATAAGAATGTAAGAAATTCAATATAAAAAATCCTATAAAGTAAATACTATATATTTTAGATAAATTAAAGTTTGATTACTAATAATAACCTATTGAATTATTTGAAAAATCAGCAGATTGATAGTTGATATTAAATAATAAAAAATTACTCATAGAATAAAATTGAAAGATCTTATTTATGATGTAAAGATGGAAGCATATTAAAAAAATAATATTAACAATTATAATAAAAAATTATATGTATATTAGATCATCAAACTTAATTTGTAATCTTATTTTTTAACATTTTAACAAAGATACCTGTCAAAGGTTTAGAATTACTAAAATAATATTTTACATTATCTTCAAGCTATACAGAAGGCTCACTAGAGTATAATCTACATTTATTGCAACTTTTTGACAGAAGAGCATTATCATATTTAATCTCTAATTTTTGCAAGGGGTACTTAATTCTCTAATTAGTGAAGTATTTAATAAAATAAATAGCTGGGGTTTTGTTGAAGATAGCAAATATTGTATTGTATATCCTAGAAGAATTAAATATGTAAGGGATTTTTTATTCTATCTTAAGAATATAAAAATCTAAAATTTGATCATAAAGCAGCATAAAGGCCCATAAATTTGGTACAATTTTAAGAATTTATCAAATAATCCTCAATAAAGCAGAATTTTAGTTAAAGAAGACTAATTTTATTTTTATTCTTCCATTTCCATCTGTTAAAGTCTATATAATAACAAATGTTATTATTTTTCGAAGAACTCTTCTGCTAAAGAATTCATAACTTATTAAAGTACAGCCTAATTAATAACCTTTAAACATTTAAGAATGATTAATTTTTGAGAGGAGATTCTTCTTATATCATCATCTTCTTGTCAAATAGATACTTACTTATCATCTCCTATTGTTTATTCATATATTTAATAATTTTAGCTGAGCATTCAGATATTTAAACACCACAAAAAGTTTTTCACAAATCATTCATATATTATTAAATTTTTAAATATCAAAATTCTAACTAATCCTTTCTACATATCATGAATTATCATTTATCTCTAAACTTTTTTTGAATCATCCACTGAGCAGAACTATATTATATAATAATTATTTTTATAATGTCATAAAATATTTATAATTGATAAGTAATAAATTCTATTAACTCTTAATTCTACTATTATTTATCCGCTATTTAAATTCTCAGCTTATGATCATAAATAATAATTATTATTTAATGAATTCGAATACTTGTTTGGATTCCAATCACATAATTCCAGCATAGTTCTTTTGCAACAATCTCTTTTGTTATGAAGATCGTTTGTTTTGGGAGTGTTGCAAAAATATTAAACATTCTTCACATCTAATGAATCCCCATGAATTATCAAAATTTAATAATTATGCTGAGAATATTAAAAATGATTGTCAAGATCTAATCAAGCAGATCAATCAAGAATTTGAATAATTTTTTATCTTTGTAGATAAAATGAAGAATGTGATTGATAATTATTAATTAAATTCCTAAAACAATTTCATTCCACTAAGTTCTGAACACCTAAGCAATGCATTGAATTCATTAATTAATTTCAAAGAAAATCATATAAATTTTATAAATAGATAAAAAGAAAATAATCAGATATTAAACTAATTTTTTGAGAGTTTGTCAGTAACTCAAACAAATAACAATGAAATCAAATAATTTAGATATGAAATTTAGAATGGAGCTTAACTAAATGAAAAACATTGTTATGCAATGGATTTTAATAAGGATGCAACATTTTTAGCAGCAGGATTTATAAATGGCAATATAAAGGTTTATAACTTTAATTCAGAAGGTTTATAATTAATGTAACAATTAAAAGAACATTACGGTGCTATTTATTGCATAGTTTTTATGAAGAAATCAAATTAATTTATCTCAGGTGGTGCAGATAAGAAAATTAACATTTGGGAAATAAATAATTATGAAATATGGTAAGTAAAAACAAAATTATAAGAAGATCTTAATTGGATTTTTTGTATAATTACAAATATTAATGAAGATGTAATTATTAGTGGAAGTAATAATGGGTATATTTAATTTTGGAAAATTAATGAGGGTTAATGTTTTTAAACTTTAGACGTTCATAAAGATAGAGTATTGAGTATAAGCTTAAATTAATCTTAAAGTAAATTAATTTCTTGTGCATGTGATAGAAAGGTAATAGTGAGCTTATTTAAAAATAAGTAAATTTGGATCGTTTCTTAATCAATTTTATTAGATTATATTCCAAGAAGATTATGTTTTATCAATGATAATACATTTACTATTCAATGTGATACATAAAAATGTCTAGATATTTATGAATTATTATAAAATGAAAAAGAGTTTGAAAAAACTCAAGAAATTGAAGTCAAAGGAGAATAAGGTTGTTATTTTTGTTTTCCATAAAAATTTATATCTTCAAAATAATTATTATTAAGCAAGAATGGTAATTAAGTTAACCTTCTTATAAGAAATAAATAAAATTAATTTCGATTTAATCATTCAATTAATTTTGAAACTGGTCAACTTTGGGGAACCATAAGTGATGATGGGTAATATCTCGCAACTTGGGATAATAGATCATGTTAAATTTAAATTAGAAAATTTATTGAATGATATAAATAATTTAGATTATTGGCTTATTTTTATTAAGCTTTGCTATAAATCTCTTAAACTTAAATCTGATATTATAATTTATTTTATAAAGTTCCAATAAAAATTTTTTTATATTATGTAGAAAGATTATGATTATTACATATATATAATTTTATATAGAATCTCAAGTGCTCTTTCTTCTTATAATAGAAATTGAAGAGTTCAATGATTTTCTCTATTTATTTTAAAACTTTAAGTTTTTGGTTTAGGCATAACTTTCTCATAATGAGGCTTTCAATAATAAAAACTCACTGCGCTTGTAAAACAGAAATTGTTATTAAAACTTTATCGAATTGCAATTAAAGAGTTTATTTCTGATTTCATTCCTGAATATAAATTTATAATTTTTCTAACTCCACAGAAAATATTATTCTTAAAGTTTACAAATCTTAATTACAGAATCAAACAAGACAATTAAAAAAAACTAATTTTAATTAAATATATAATCTGAAAAAACCAATGATTAAAAAGAGTTAAAAATTGGGATTGTTAAATAATAAGAATAATCTATGTCTACTAATTAAAAGACAAGTCAAATATATATAATAAGATTCAAATCCAAAATGAAATAATTATAGATGCTTAATTATTTAAATTTAAGAATAATTTTGAAACACTCCTTCTTAAGAAATTTTAATATAAACTAAATAAAATTTAAAATCTATTATCCATTTCCAATAATTTAATATAATAGATGAGTCTTTCATCTTAAATAAAGAATTACATGCAAGAAAAGGCATTCTATATATCTTACAAAAATTGTAATTTCATTAAAAGTTTAACAATCTTTGGTTAAATCATGTATAGTTTATTAATAAAAAAAAGAATTAAGTAGGCGAAAATAAAAAAATCTCAGGATTAAATCTCTATAAAACAAAGAATTAAATAAAAATTAATAGTTTTTAAGTTCATAAGAAAGTATTATAAAATTAGATTTTGAAATTTATATTTTTTAATTTATTTTAAGCTATAAAGTTTATCTTTGTTTGTATAATTTATCCTTAGAATTGTATAAAAAAATATATAATATTAAAATCAATCTAAGTTATGAAGATCTTTAAAAATTAATTAATCTAATTCTATTAAAAAGTTTAAAAGAATTAATAATTTTCATTTTAATTTAAATTGTGATATCCTTATAAATACTAATATTTAATGTTCACAAGTGCAACAGATGATAATGATTTACAAATATAATTACATGGTTTTAACAGTAGGTTACCAAATGGAAATTAGAAAGTCAAATTGATTAAATCATATTTATAGCAAATTTTAAAAGGGAATTACTAAATTTTTTGAAGATAGGCAGGCTATTTCATTAAGCCTTATTAGTTGTTACTTCAAGAATGGGTCTTAATGTGAAATATCATATTGTTGTATATGAGAATGATAGTATTGTTAAGGATTATTAGATTGATATAGAAATAAAGATAACCCAAGTAACTTTAAAGAAATTATAAAATTTGAAGATGGAGAATATGTTTGGGAAAAAATGTCACTTAAGAATTAATTTGATATAGATAATTTAGAAATCACAGTAAATCAAATAATTGAGAAAATTTAATAATTTGCAGATAAAAATGGATCATATTCTACTATTTTAAATGATTGTTAATCTGTTGCAGACTAAGTGACTGAATAACTATTGTTTTAAATTCTTTGTCTTATATTTAATTTTAATGTAAAAATATCATCCACTTTTTACTTGATTTTTCTACTTATGGAGAGTAAAATAAAATATTATAAGTTTCATTTGAAAAATAATTAGAACAAAATATAAAAACATTAATTTAGTTTTAAGTTTTTATATACAAAAGACATGTTACATTCCATGTTTAGTTAATATAAATTATTCATTTCTACATATTGAGTAATTATATATAGATTAATTATAAATATAAAGGGATGTTCCATTTTGATATTTGTAATCTACAATCGATGCATAATTAGATATAGCAGTAATAAATAAACCTTGAAATAAATTGGATCAATTAAATTTTCATCAAAGAGATTATTCAAATATTAAACTCCAACAATCGTTTCTTGATTAGATTAGAATTGTTGCATCAAAACTCCATCCTTATAAAATGAATAACCTGTATTATTTAAATTACCAGAATTTGGAATAGTTCTTAGAGGGCCTGTTTAAAATTAACTCTATTGTAATCTAAAATCAATTATCTCACTATATAATTTATATCAAAATTAGTCAATAAAATAATTGCTCTATTTTCAAATGTTTACATAATTAGAACGAAAGAAGAAGGAAATTAAGAACGACTATTTTCATTATTGCTAATATATTCTTCTACAAAAACGCTATTTTGTAAAGTTATTTAGTTATTTTAAACTGATAAAAATAGATAATAGAGTTACTAAATCTTTTCTTTTTAATGAATATAAAACAGAAATATTTATTGTTATTATTTAATAAAAGAGCTAGTTGTTACTACTTAAGAAATTGAGAAATCTTGACAAGATAAATTAGAATTGAATATCGGCTAAAAAGCATTTTTAGATTAGTTTAACCAATAGAGTAGAATAATTTCAATTTATTATATAATTCTTAGTACTATTACTCATCTAAGGAAGCTAAAAAAAAAAATTTAGTTGAAAAAAGCTACTTATTTTGGAAATATTTAAAAACATTCTTGGAAGTTATGTAGTTTTTATTTGGCAAAATAGCTTTCAAAATTTAAAGTAAAGTTCAGTGAATATTTAACAAATTGAATATAATTTGTAATTAGAAGAGGTTGATTTTAGACATTCACTCAAGTTTAGATTTGAATTGCTTAAATTATATTTATTATTTAAGTCGCTATATACAATTTATATGTAAGAGTTATTCTGAAAAGCAACAAATTCGTTATTGATTAATGTGATTAATGAGTAATTGCTATAATTAGGAATTTTACTGTAATTATGAAAAAATTATATTAAACTACATATCAAGAATTAAATTCATTGGATATGAGACATTTTTAGTCTAAGGAATTATGGTATAAATAGTTAAATCAATTTATAAATTGTTTTAATATTGCGAAATTTGCATAAAAAGTAACAGTTTAATTAGGAGTTTACAAACTTGATTATTTATTTATTAACATAAATTTATAAATTAATTATAAAAGGCTGTGCCATTCAATTCTGAAGCTATAGTATAATTGTAAATTATTGAGGATAACTTATTGAATTGTTAAAGACTTAATTTTCAAATTAATATGTTAGGTTAAAGTTTTATTACCCAAAAGTTTATATAAATTTTTGTTAGAAATTATTATTGATTTTTCATAAATAATGCCTTCCCTTAATTATGATAACTAAGTATAATAAAATGACAATGTTAATTATGACATATAATATAAACTCATATGACATGGTAATTAAGGATTATATACATAAAGAGTGAAATTGCTAAAAGTAACATAAAAGAATAAGTTATCAGATTATATTGTTATGTTAGAATCAAATTTTACACTATAAACATTCTATATATAGTAGTATTATGGTAGATTTTACACATCTCAAACTTAAAAACAAATATTCTATTCATTATTGCACAAATATGATGTTATCAAATATTAGTTTACTAAATTTATCTATTTGAAATTAACCTTAATCAAGGATATAAGTTTTGAAAAACTATTTTAATCTATTGATAAGATGATGACATCATCAATATTGTTGATAAATAATAAGGAAAACATTAATTATGTATTTACAGCTATTTAGACAGGATTGAATTGAAAGTTTTACACAATTAATTTATTGACTCTTAATTAAGAGAAAAAGATTTGTAAAATTTAATGTAGTTATTAGAATTTCTTACTTTTTACTCATTGGAATTATAATGATATTATAAGTTACTAAAAATCTGAGAATTTTTATTTAAAAGTTTAATTTGAATAATGATTATACTATTACTATCAATCAAATGTTAAAACAAAAAGATTGTATCTTAGGTACTTAGTCCAATTATAAATACAATAGGATAAAGGCTATAGGAAATTTTTAAGGAATTTGCATTTACAGTAATGTTAGTTGTATTTAATTCAATTAATTAGTAGAATTAATTGCTATAGTTAAATGCAAGAGATAATATCAAGTTATTAATGAATTGAATAGCATCTCAATTTAGAAATTATTTCTGAGAGAGTAAAATTACATTGATAAAAAGACTTTTTTGCTAATTAAATCCACATCTATTTTATTACTTATTTAATTTTTATTGTGTAGGTCAAAAAATTATTAGCCTCTTTACAGTATCATAATCAAAATGTAGTAAGGAATTTCTTAAATTAATTTGAAAAAGTAAAATTTATCTGCTTCTTGTTTGCTATAAATAGACAATTCATTTATTGATTAATATATTATAAATTAGTTATTTTAAAGTATGTTCTAAATAGGTTGGCAAGGTTTAAATGGGCAACTATCACTTACGTTGATTATTTTACCTTCACATAACATTAATTATCCAATCATCAAATCTGATTAGTAATTCGATAATTTGATATATGCTAACTTTATTTGATCACATAAGGAGTAACTTTAAAAATTGTAATAAACATTAATACTAGTAAAATCAATCATATTATCTTAACTGAAATTATATTTTAAATAAAATTGAGAATATGAAGAAATTGATAGTTAGAAAATCTCTTGGGAATTAATTGAGCAAATATTGGGACTTATTATATTTGGTATATCAAAATCAACAAATTAGTTAATTAAGCCACTTAAATTTAAAAATTATGATTAAAATAGTGAAAAGTATTGCATAATTCTCAACATATTAGTCATATACTATGAATGCATTTGTTCCATTTATAATTGATTATATTTTAATTAAAATGGGGCATATGATTATATTTAATAAGCAATTTTTGATTAGGCATCAGTTAATTCAATGAAAAAGAATTCATTGTTTTAATTATTTGAAAACAAATTTCAAAGTGTTAACTTTTTGAAATACTGATCCTAGCGTTAAGAATATTAATTTATAAATCCAAAAAAAAGGTTATAAGAAATAGAACAAAAAATCAGTACATAATCAATGAAGGCAAGGGAAAAATCAAGAATCGGATATTGTTACCTATTTATATTTGGAATGAATATAATGATACTTAATTATAATCAATAGCAGATTCAATAATACAAATTTAGTTCTCTTCTCTTTAAACTTATCACTAAATTCAGCATATTCTAAAACATATCTTTAAGATTGAATACCTTAATTCCACTTTCAAGTTATTAGAGATATCATGATAAATAGATCATCATCATTAAATTATGTTTATTGGCTGTTCCAATTATATCTAAATATTAAAATAGTATAATTTTTAGAAATAATTATATTTCGAAATATCAAATAATGAATTAATGTTAGCAATGGAAAGTGATTTTTAAATGTATTTAAACTTTATTAATTTAAAAGTGGAATAAATATCCAATTCATCCTGAATTGCATAGATATTACACTTTTTAGTATTTCATATAATCCTTTCTTTATTATTTTTGGAAGATTTAGTTTTAGCTGCATCTTTCAATACTCAAAATGGACTATTCAAAACTTAAAATTTTATATTCTCATTCTTTAGTGTCCTCATCAAGCCTGTCCATTAATCGATCTTCTTAAAATATTCAATCACTGAAGCTACTTTAACTTCCTCCTTTAAACCTTTAAAAATAACAAAAATTCCATAAATTACAAAGTCTTTTTCTTCAGACCATCCAGCTGCTTGAAAATTAAAATGAATAAAAATCAAAATCACTTCTACCAAAAATGAAGAATATTAAAAATTTAAAGCTTGATGATTATGGCCTTGCAAATATTCTATGCTTGATTG